GATGGAGAGCTGAAGGGAAATGGCAGGGAGACCCAACCCGAGACTGCTTTTCCTGCTGGTTGGGTGGAGCACAGCCTCCATGGGGCCCAGCCGGGCTGCAGGCGGGCCCAGCAGGGGCTGGCTCAGCCAGCTCTCCACCCACCAGACTTAAGGAAATGGACACACATGGCAGGTGCATATTAAACACCTGCGATGTGTCAGGCTCTGTACTGGGCTACAGAAGGTAATAAAACCACCCTGCCCCTGAGGAAAATGATACCCATTCGAGGTGAAGGAGTTGGCATTTGGATGGAACAGGAGCCAGCGCACTGCAGCCTGTGGGCGGAACCTGGCCAAACCGCCAATTTTTGTGTGACCTGAAAGCTAGGAATGGTTTTTACATTTTCAAATGGGGCAGGGGGGGGGGGGGCGGGGGGGTTGTGTGTGTGAATGAGATTTCAGAACATGAGCATTTTATGAAGTCCCAGCTTTGGTGTCCATAAAGGAAGTCTGGCTGGCACACAGCCGGGCTCACTGTGTCCCTGTGTTGGCGCTTCTGCCCACTCAGGAGGCCGAGCCCACAGCGCAGGCCTCAGCAGTTACCATCGGGCCTGCACTGAACGCTCCTGGGATGGCACTGGAAGTCGGTTGGTGGGCGTTTCTTGCTGGGCATCACATTCCCTGCCGGGGCCTGCCCTCCGCAGACCCTCTGAGCCGCGCTTCCTGGACACGGTCCTGATGCCCTGGTGGCCGTCAGCACCACAGACAGGGCTGCACCAGGAAAAGCTGTTCTGACAAAAAGTGACCCAGTTTCTGTCCTTCCAGGAATGGCGGTGGAGGACGCGGTTGCGGCCAAATTAGTGTATGACTCCTGGTCATCTGGTAAATAGCGCGAAGCGTGGCCCCGAGGCGGCGCTGCAACTCCAGGGGCCTTGCCGCCGGTTGTCCTGTAATTTCTAGATCAAACGAGGGAACCCCGTGCCCAGCGGACTGTAGTGTTGTGCTCATCCTGTCTTACCTTAATTGGCGAGATCCTCCTTGCGTTGTAGCTGAGGGGAGCTGGGTGGCCGGCCCTGCGGTGCGGGCTGCAGCAGCACCCCTTCCCCAGGCATCCCACCGGCTCTTGTATCTCCTGGAAATAAAGCGATTTCCTTTTCTGCAGTTTTTGCTTCGGTAACTTCTGTCCCTCGTGGCAAGGAAAGCGAGGGTGCAAGTGCTCCCACTCACTCGCTGGGGGAGTGCCAATGACGGTAATTTTGTTCTGTTTCTTAAATTGAGGTACAGTGTGTGTACCACAAAATTAAAGTGTACAGGTCAGTGGTTTTTAGTATGAAAACCGTGGTCACAGAGTGGGCAGCCTTCACCACCATGTGATTCCGAGGCATTTTCATCACCCAAGAGAAGCCCCAGAGCCCTCCGCCCCGCCCGGCAACCACTCACCTACTCCCCATCGTATGGACTCGCCCCCTCTGGGCGTTTCCTATAAGGAGAACCAGGCATTGTGTAGCCTTTTGTGTTTTGCTTCTTACAATTAAAGGTTCGGGGAACAGTTTAGCTTCCATGTTGGTCAGGACTCCTTTGGTGACCAGTGGTAGTGACCACAACTCCAACCGCCTTAAGCTGAATGCGTCCGTGGATGAGGAATGGCATTTATTGGTGCGTGTAGTTAAGAAGGACGCGGGCAACGGTCAGCCACAGCTGCACCCGGGCTCCAGGTGCCAGCAAGACCCAGGCTGGCTGCCTCGCCCTCCGCTGGGTTCTGCAGGGTTGGTTTCCCGGGGCAGGGCGGTGGCCAGCGGTGCCTGTCAGCCCCTGTCAGCCCCTCCAGCAGCCCCCGCAGAGACAGGGTCTCTTCCTCAGCAGTTCAAGCCCCAGAACCGAGGCTCGCTGGCCCATTGCGGCCGCGTGCCCAGTCCGGAGCCTGGCACCGTGGCTGAGAGAGGAGTGCCCTGCACAGCTCGCGCCGGTGTGAGGCGGGCCTGACCTCTCTGGCAGGGAAGAGGGAACCCTTTACTTCGCTTCATTTGCTCCCTGACATGTAGCCCCACGCTAATTCTGACTGTTCTGTTCATATATTTTGAGCCAGTGCCCAGCGGGCTATAGTGTTGTGATCATCACAGACATAGCATTTACCCTTCAGTTCAGGGAAAGGCTGATAAGCCTATGGACTCTACCAGCTGGGCCACTGTAATTAAAGTAAAACGCCACAGTTCAAAACATACACTTAACTTCTAACGGCCCCTCCTGGCCTCACAGGTTCAGTTATTCACTGTGAAGACATGTTTCCCCCTTTCTAACCCAGCACTGTAATGGGATTTTTATATGCAGTATTTAAACCCGTGTGTCCTTCAGATCCACACCCTTCTATCTCATCCCAGAATCCACACAAAGGCTGAGGGATAATTATGGTGAGAGTGTTCAGTTCTGGGCAAACACATGCTCCCCCCTTCTCCCGCCCTATATTTGCTGAGCCAATTGCTACCCCTCCCTCCAGCAGGGCAGCACAGACAATCCCAACTAGAAAGGATCACCTCGATGAAGCGGTCAGAATGAAATCGCACAGGCTGAGTTCCAGCAGCACTTCCACTGCTTGCCTTTCCCTGTCTCAAGCACCGGGGCGTTCCACCCTCTGCCTTCACCCTGCAAGAGGGGGTCCGGCACCTGCAGTTCAGGTCCTAACAGAGGCAGGATCGGGCACAAGTGCCTCCCAGGTGACCCTGCATGTGTGCACACTATGGAAAGCAAATACAACTTCACTTTATTCCAGACCAACAAAATGCAGTATCTGCAAACATAATCCTCCCTTCGTACATAGTTACCTACTCGAAGACTGACACCTCTCCGAATCCATCCATTGTGAATCCAGCCCACTGTCCATCACACCCTTCCTATGCTTCCCTCCTCCACGGTGCCTCCCGAAATACCCAGACCGACGTGAGCCAGGAAGCATGCTGAAGAAATAGCTGTTTCTACTTTATACACGTAATTGATGGTAAATGTCATCTGATGTAAGTCTGGCAATAAAAATGCAGTGAAGCATAGCTATTCACTAAGGTTTCGGTTTGAGTTTGAGCTGCCATTCAAAAAGTGTCAGAGCAATGTTGCCCACTTACATTACAGAAGCGGCATGGACTCAGACATGCACCAACGGGGATGGGCAACGGGAAATGAAAGAGGCACGTAGTGAGCAAGACAATGTAAAGGTTACTTTTATAGTCAAATTTTCCTTACCTAGAACCTAGGTATTTTCCCCTTTAAGTTTCAGAGGGTAAGCACCCTTAGAAAAATCACCAAAGAAGCCAGACTTTGTCTCCTGTATGTTTCTTTCCTTTCCTCCCACCCTCTTGCTCAGGCTTCATAACAAAATACCACAGACGGGGCGGCTTAGACACAGAACTTTATTTTCCTACAGCTCTGAAGGCTGGGAGTCCAAGACCAAGGTGTCTGCAGGCCTGGTTCCTCCTGAGGCCTCTCTCTCTGGGCGGCAGATGGCCGTCCTCTTGCTGGGCCCTCACAAGGCCTCTTCCCTGTGCGTGTGCATCTCTGGTGTCTCTCTCTTCTCCTTATAAGGGCACCAGTCATATGGGACTTGGGCCCCATCTATGACCCCATTTAACTTTAATCACCTCTTTGATAAAGGTCCTATCTCCAAAGCCAGTCACATTGGCAGGTTGGGCATCAGTATCTGAATTTGGGGAAAACACAGTTCTGCCCATAGCAGGTACCCTATAGTCTAGTTCTCTCTTCACTCTCCCTACCTGACACCCCGTGTGGGTACTCAGGCAGAAGTATTGTAGATCCACTTTCTTTACTTGCAAACATGTAGACATCTGTTAGAGCAGTGGTTCCCAACCTTTTGGTCATGTCCCACCTAAGCATCCCTAAAATCCTGATGCCCCCCCCCCCCGCCCCCGTGACATAGAATTCCTATTACTCAAAAAGTGAGCTCTTATTCACGTGGAGGAAGCCTAAAGGCTATTAACTTGGTCTAAACAAGCTTCCAAAGAACATGTTACCCATGAAAGAGAAAAATAAAAGATCAAAAGGACAGTTGAAGTACTGAGGAAGAAATCACTAAGGAATGGTTAAAAAATAATAATATGAAGTGATATGAAAAAATAGCAAATACAGTTTCAAAACAATAGAGCACTGAAATGCATAAATATGTCACAATATATATTTATATACTGTATATGAGGCCCCTAGAACCATAATAACTGCAAAAAATTCACTGTTAATAACTCATTCTCTAATTGCCCCCCTTAAAAATCAAATTGCCTGCCTCCTCTGTGGGGCATGTGTCCCGTGTTGGGAACCACTGTGTTAAAGGTTTAGATACATTTCAGTTGGGTTTCAAATCTTATACCAATGAAGGAACTTTGCTCTCCACCAATAAACAAAATCTAGAGCTAAGGACAGAACTGGAGTTAGAATCCCCAGGCCATGAGAATCAGAAAGTAAAAAGCAGTGTGATGAGAGTTATAATCTTAAACCTAGAGTTCGAAAAGTAAAGTCTTTTTCTCTGCCATCCATTTAACCCTTTCCATATTCATAAATATTAAAAATAAAGCTGAAGAGAAACGCCATTTTTCATTCCCAGGTCTCCGTGAGTTTCTCACTGGTGGTTTATTTGTATAGGTATAGAGACTTTCTCAGAGTAGTTTGGGCCTCAAACTTTTAGGTGGGCATTTCCAAAACCCTAGACACCATCCCCAGCTGTGGCATTCAGTAGAGAGCAGGTACTGCCTGGAGTGCATCCAGTGGGCACTGCCTTGCCCGCGCTGCGGACTCCCCCTGCTGGTCAAGCACGCCATCACAGGCTGGTGTCGACCAGTTGGCCAGGCTGCTGGAGCACGTGCTTCCTTCTGTTTATAGCATTGAGAACTTTCTTCCTGGGACCCAACTGCATTTGTATGCTCTGAAGGTCCTCATCAGAGCAAAGCAACAGAGCTTCTAGATCAATCTGCTCTCTCATGAAAAACGGAAGGAATTGTTCCAGGTGGTGGGACTGCAGGAACACTTCCAGGGGCGTAGCGTCCCCCACGTCTTCCTCCCACTCCACCACATCCTCATCCCAAGGCAAGGCCTCTTCCAAGCTGTTTCCATCTCCCTCTTCATCAGCCTCTGCCTCCTCAGGCTGTGCTGCTCCTTGTCGCTGAAACAATTCACTGGCCACTTTAAACTCCAACCCTCTCTTGTCATCTGACATGTCTTCAGGACTCAATATTCTGTTCCTTTTAAAAACAATATTCCCTAGACCTGGACGACTGAGAATGGATTCATGTTGCGCACAGCTGTCCTCTGCTGAGAGCTTCTCTCTGGACTCCCCTGAGAATGTGTCTTCTTCCTCCTCGCTGAACACTTCCATCACATTCCTCTGCCCGTTTCGGGACCCCTTCCCTCCCTGCTCTGCTGTATCTTTATTCTTCTTGAACTGTATTTTGAAGGTGCCTTTAATGCTCTTAGACAGTGACCCAAATGTGCTGGAAGCAGACGCGTTTGAAAGGGATGACCTAGAAAGAGTGCTCTTGGAAGAAGAGAGAGTCCCGGCTTCCTCCTTTCTGTAGGTGCGGGCCATCTTGTTCTGGTGCTTCTCCTGGAGCCTTTCACACTCTTTGATCTGCCTCCTGGCATTCTTCTGAGCCTGCTCCTTCAGCCTGGTGACCTTCTTGGGGTTCATGATGTTCTGGGCAGTGGCTGCCTTATCCAGGAGAGCAACACATTCATTCTGCTCTCTGCTGGCAGCAGCATCCAGTGGAGACTGTAAATCATTGTCCAAGGCAAAGATGTTGGCACCAAAGTTGATCAGGAATGAGACGCAGTGGGCATGACCATTGGAGGCTGCGTAATGTAGAGGAGTGTTTCCCCAGATGTCGCATCTATCAGGGTCCCCTCTAGAAGAGAAAATATAAAAAATACAGCTCATTGTTTCCTCTGAATATAAGGTCCTAATAAAGAAAGGAAGAAAGAACAGTGCCTGTTCGTCCTGCCTTGGCATTGTTAGAGGATAACCACCGAAAGTCTAGGTATGTCCCATCCGGACATCGCATGGCCAGAAACAGAAAGAGCCCATTTCTATCCTGGGTCTCATTTATTTTAAGCAAGAAAATATTTCCAAAACACTCCCTCAAAAAGCAACTTTCCTGTCTAATTGGCCAGAA